TTTTTTGTATGTAGGAAGTATATTTTTGGATAAAAGAATACGCATAAATATTATTCATATAGCTATGAACGTCAATCAAATAGATTGCTTCTTATTGAATTGACGCGCATATAAATATAATAAAATTACATGTCAAAAATAAGTCCTTAAATATATTACTTCCTTCGTCCTGTATGCTCTTTACCAGTTTTATTCTGAATCATGTTGTTTTTCTATGGTACTTTATTTTTATATTTTGAATTTATTTTTTTGACAGGTGATTGTTTGTAAGGAGCAAAACTTCGTAATATAAAATCACTTCCATCATTTATATTTTGACATTTTATTTTAGTTACACTCATTTCAATTGTACTTTTAACAAATTCGTGTCAAAATGAAAATAGATAATTTTAATTTAAATTTAAAAAAAGAAATTCAGACGTTCTATCGTTCAATATTTATTGAAAAGGAGACATCAATATTGTCTAAAGTTCGTTTTATAAAAGTACGGCACAAGGTTTTTCTTCTATTTGTCCTGAATCGTAATATGTGGTTTTGTTCGCTGTTAGAAAATTATACATTGAAAGAGCAGTGTCAGCTGTTATTTTCTCAGGAGGTATTAAAATTTGAAACCGCGTTCCGCCCTCCTCCCATTCATCTATTCCATTATAAGAAAAATAAATTAGAGACAATTAATATTGAATACAACAGATTTTCAAATCTTTATTAGTTGCACAGTTATACGTAGATCAGAAAAAATAAAAATTAAAAGAAGAAATATATCGAATACAGACAAAGAACATATCGATACAAAGAAACACATCCACACACATGCATCAGATATGCTTAAGTTATATAACTGTCCTACTGTCATATACATATAGAATGAAAAAAAAAGTTATTGAAAAATTTACATAATGACTCAATCTCGGTCTGAGATTGATTTTTTCGCAGATAATGCTTGTTGTTCTTCAGAGTCTTTTTCACCAAGACATACAGTTCGTATAATAATATCGGTTACAGCATATGGATCACAGTTTGATGCTGGACGACGATCTTCCAAATAACCACATCGATCTTCACCAACTTGACGAGGAATTCGAATTGATGCACCTCGGTTAGCAATACCTGCATTGAATTGATTGATCTAAATAATATAAATTATACTTGAAAATAGATCATACACTTATATAAAGTCTAAACTTACGCTTGCTGTTTCATGTCGTCCAGTTAATCGTCGTTCGTTACCTTTACCATACATGGCAATGTGAGTTTTATGACGACATTTGAGTCTTGTAATAGCTTCATCGATAGCTCTACAAATGATGAAAATATTATATCTACATTCAAAAATTGATAGCTAAAATACTTACTCAATACCATTAGGTTCACGCATAGCTAATGTTGAAAAGTTAGTATGACAACCAGCAC